TTTATTTTCAGATTGGCCACCTGATCTCTGAATTTGACTATGAAAACTAATAAGAAAAAAATCCTGAGCTGTAGGAATGCGGTATTTCGTGATCTGTGATCACTTCTTTTCCAATTCAAGTCTATGGGAGCCAGGGCTTTTTGGAGCCAGCAGCTAGCGGACGTAGTGATATTGCAGGTTTTTGACACTTCCGGGTTGCCTTCATTTTTCAGGGCCAGTTGCTACGTCCATCTTTTATACAGTCTATGGTTTGCACCAAAGTTTGCTTTTTCTGATTGACATTGATCACCTAGAATTTCTTAACTGTCACAAATAGAGATGCAAGTTATTGAATTTTGGCTGATTGCTGGTATTTCATTTCAAGCTTTTATCGACTGATTTTGATGATTAAGATGCTGATATTATCTTGCATCCATGAGCACAAAATCAACAAAAATTAGATGTACAACATCCTTGCTTCCTAAATAAGGTCTAGTCATTTTCAACGCCTCCTTTGGAAAGTTTGACAGATGTCAGTAGAAGGCTAAATGTTCAAATTGTTTAATTGCAGTTATAGATCAAATCCATGTTCTTTATTAATCTAATATTTTTCTTTTTTTAAAAGCCCCATATGGTGAAAGTCTATTTTTATTATGTTTCATTGTTATAAACTTGGTGTAATGTAAAAGCTGTTAAGCTATTAAGGCATTTACCTCTCCCATTTCTCACTCTTCTTTACAAGCCAGTAAGAATTTTACTGAGCCGCTACGTTTCAGTGAAGGAACAAGCAGCCATGAATGTCAAACTTTGTGTAATACTGTCCCTCACTGCCTGCTGCCTCCAGATGAGCTATTCAGAATGAACAGCTGCCTCATAGTCTGCCAACTTTTTTTACTTTCTGGACCTGCCTCTGCTAATTCTAAATGCGTCTAATGTGTCAGCTTTGAGCAAAATACAGCAAATGCTCGATTATTGGCTGCAAGAGTGAACACAAGAATCTTCATGCACTCCCAGCATCTGAGGAACTGAAGAAGTTGATTACATCTATGATTGATGGTATGTCACCACAACAGTAGAAAAAGTTTTCGCATGAGGATGTTGTGCAGCAAGTTGCCTAACTTTACCACTGATTGTATGCCCACAGGTCAGAGCGCTTTTAAAATTGTAAAGCTCAGAGAAGACTAATTTAAAACTAATAAACAAGGACTGGGTGGGTTGGTGTGTTTTCTTGTTGCTCGTTGTGCTTCAGTACAACCCAAACTTAGGAGCATCTACATTTGTTTGCTTCTCTCCTCCCCTCTGTGCTCTGTGTCAAATGATCAACCAGAGAGAAACAATGCGGTCAGCTGTTTTGCTCCATGCTGTCTATCACAGATGCATACAGATGCTGCGTCTGAAATCACCCACTATACCCTATATCGTGCAGCATATAGGGTGTTTGCTATTTTGTAATGCTGTCAGAATGTTAACTTACAAATGTTACACCCTGTATAGTGCACTCAAAATATCCCATAATGCACTGTGAAAAGTAGTGTACAGCTGATGGTCACTGACCAAGCAATATGGACCATCATGCATTGTGTGAAAGGAAATGCAAGCTAGATGAACGAGAGCGCAAAAACTTGTCATTAAAATGTAAGTAATTTCCCGTTTATATTTTGTTAAATTTCATTTTAGCTGTTTCGTAGCTACGCAATGAACTCTGAATTTGATGTGTTTGTACTGTGCTGCTACGACACACATCGTGGCTAGCCAAGATGCTCCCTACATAGGTCACTACATAGTTGACTATATAGTGGTCCCTAGATAGTGAGTAGGGAGTGGATGATTTCGGACTTAGTGTAGTCTTCTTCCTGAAGGGGGCATAGAGCTCCCTTCAGGAAGAATGCATGATGGTGCATATTGCTTGGTTATTGACCATCGGCTGTACACTACTTTTCACAGTGCATTATGGGATATTTTGAGTGCACTATGTAGGGTGTAAAATTTGTAAGTTAACATTCTGACAGCATTACAAAATGGCAAACACCCTATATACTGCATGATATAGGGTATAGTGGGTGATTTCAGACACAGCATCTGTATGCATCTGTGATAGACAGCATGGAGCAAAACCGCTGACTGCATTGTTTCTCTCTGGTTGATCAGCTGTGCTTACAGCTACAGACACTGAAACAGCCCATTTAGGACAGGGCTAAAACCAAAAACTAAATGGATGGTCAAACAATAAAATAATATCACCAAAAGCTAGAAGTATTTCTACATATCTTTTATTGTAGGACGCGAAAGACCTAAATGCACTTGTTGAATAGAATCTTTAAATGTATGAAGTTCACAGTTTAAGAGCTCAGTTTCAGAGCTCTCAGCTGTCATGTTAGAAATAAGCAGCCGCATTGAGAGTGGTAAAATAAATATATTAACTTGCACAGTTAAAAGTTTTTTTCAAATGTTATTTTATTTTTAACCAGCATCATTACCATTTTACCTGGTCAACAAACAAAGCTGGTAACTACCAGCATAATGCCCATTGGCTCTGACTGGAGTTGTAGATTTTGTGGAGTCGGCTTACACAAAGAAAACCTGCCTTTGTCAAACTTGTTTTGTAGCACAGTCGTCAGGGATTATAGATTCATGAAAAAAAATTAAACACCTATGCAGTATTTTGTGCTGACAAATTAAAATACATTTTGGGGACATGTGACACTTAGGTTAATTTGCTGAAAAGAGCACAATACGGGACTTTAGACCGATGAATTGCAACAATCACAACAACCACAACACAATAACAGAATACTTTTTCATCTGTAGTTTGACGTTTAACCGAAACTCCACAATATTTCCTCGTGTGGCTGCTGTTCAGCATTCATAGCTTTAACTGGTGATAACACAGTTGTCACGTGACATGCACAGCCCGGAAGTTTCATTTAAGGACGCTGTTATAAGGGTTCGCTACTAATTCTACGCGGCGTACACCGAAAGTAGCCAAGGTAATGATAAAACTGTCGGCTTTCTGTTAAACATATTGGGCTAAAAATATTCAAAGAGTAAATATTGTCTGTCTGCATGTCCCCGGGCTGTTGCGGAGTACGTAATTTGCGACCTAGGGGCCAAAGTGCTAATTTAGCGACTAGCTCCACCTACGGAGTTCGTCCTAAGGATCTTGGCGGAGACAACGAGCGGAACCCCGGTCAACTTACAGGCAGTGGACTGTCTTACGGGAAAAGTATGACCAGTTAGGGGCTATCCCCCGAGGTACCGTCGTTACATTAGAAATTAGAAGAATTGGCCAACGCTGGTTAAAGTTAGAGCTGTAAGTAACACGTAATGTATTTGCTTTAACCCCACTACATTTTCCAAGCGTCTTCACCTCGGGCTGTACTTCCGTGTTGTCTGTTGTCGAGCATACATAACTGGAGATACGTGATGTTGTAGCTATTCGAGCCTGAATAACGCATGTGTCCACGCTACGCAGTTTGAGAGGTTATATTGCTTGTAAAGACATTTCTGCCCTGGGTTTGTCTCAGCCATGAAGAGGAAAGCTAAAACTATGGGTGCAACTCAGAGCACTGTCACAGCCTCCAGTCGAGGTGTGCCTTCAGTGACAGCAGCGTCCACCCCGAATGGAGACGTAAGTGTTCTACACATTAACACACTTTGAGTGCTAAATGTGAATTTCTAGGTTTAGTTTTCAAACTTTGTAGCCAGGGGTGTCTTCTGTCACAGTTGCCATAAGAAGTTGCAATTTATTTCAATCATTGTCTAAGTTAAAGTATTATTTATTTTATTTTGAAAGGCCCCTCACTGTTGCATGTAATAGCAATACCAAATAAAATGCTAGTTTAAAAAAAAAGAAAAAAAGGCTTATTGGTAACTATTATTTAAGGTAAGTCAGTTTTCAACACATGGAAATGGTTTTTACTTTCACTATCTATTGACTTTCCCTTTCACGAGCACTACAGTGAGCAGCAGTTTTATGGGACTTTCCCAGCCACTGCTGACTCCTCATCAAATCCCCAGTTTTGTTCCTAAGCATCTGCTACACTGATTTGTGTAAAATGTAACATACCGTATGGGGGAAAAAAAGAGCAAAGTCTGCAGTATGTAATACCTGGATGTCATACTGATTTGGGAAAAATCTCCAATCTACATTGTGTAGGAAATGATACTCAACTGTATGTCAAAGCAGACCATTATATGTCTACATTTATTTAATAGGTATGCTGAAATATACACTCATAGAAGCAAAAATACAATGATGGTGTAATTTAGGAGAGTGAAAACTATTTAAAACTGATATTGTATACATTTGATTTAAAAAGCCATATTATTGGTCAGTTAGATCTTGTGGCTAATGAAATAGCTGCTCAGTATGTAAAATCTAAAAAGAAGCTTTGATAAGGATGTCCTGTGGGCGTTTAATGCGCTTGGCAGGAACCATAAAACAAAGATTGTATGGGGTTTGATTCTAAATGAAAGCCTGCTGAGATAATCTCACACAATGCGGATTTGAGGAGACCTATGATGCACAGTTGGCAGGTGAAAGCATCATATTTAAGTTGATGCTTTCTGTGATTTGACCTCGAGACTAACACGTTCTGTTGCAGGCTAGTCTTTGTGTAGAGAACAGTAAATCTACAAGTAGACTGAAGGTCACCAACTATGCTCTTGAATGTGCTATAGTAATTTAATGTTAGAGTAATTCAGTGAGTGTGGGAGTCAAATTAAAAGTACACCACAGTGGGACCAGTCTACGTCGCTGACAGTGTCTCACAACGTACTAGAACATTCACAAATCTGACTTGTAGGGCCAACTTCAACACCAGAAGAGTTCTCAGCTGGCCTAAGTTGTAAACACAGGAGATCAACAATTACATTGTCATTAATTAGGGGGAAAAGTTCACAATATGACCAAACTAGTGTGTGCATTTAAATACAAATTAAAAACATTATCAGTCTGCAAGTTTGCCAAAAAGACACCCATTCAGATTGAATAAAAGGATACCTTCAACATGTGTCATATTAACACTCAGCTTTGTAAATAGAATTGTTATTTATCCATCTCAAGTTGTTGCAGCATAGACTATGTAACCGTGCACATTGTCAGGTGAAAAATTTGCACATACCTGCTCACTGTAAATATTTTTATTACATTTCATTGCTTTTATAGTTCCTTGGATTTGTTATACATGTTGTTTATGTGTCTTGTATCCTTTACTATCTACTGACTTACAATATTGGCTTTGTTAAATATTTTTTTCCTTCTTTAAAAATGATCTACATGTTAGCGTGTACTGTCCACACTGAAACACCACATCAAACTCATCATATGTAAAAACCTCCTTAGCAATAAAAGCGACACCGAAAGCTTCCGTAATACCAGTACAACTAGCTGTAACTTCCAATACTTAAGCATTGAAGTAACACCAGTGAATCTGGTCCCTTCCAATTGTTTATCTTTGAGAAAATTATCAACATCGGCATTCTTAACTTCTATGGAATTTTTGTGAGCATAATTAGATGCTTGTCCTTGGTTGTACTATTGTTTTTTTTCCCCATTCCAAGACCAGAAACCAAACCCGCTGGCCCAGCATACTGCAGAATAAGTTGATTTACCAGTTTCATACTGTGTACTACGTTTGTCAGTAGTCTGTAGTAGGAGGTTTCAAAGACAGCAATTGTTACTGTGTAGTGCTCCAGCTGGAACCAAATAGTCTAAAGAGGAAGATATGAATATAAACATACATAAGAGCACCTTTGGTTTCTGCTTTTTCCTATTGAGGCGAAGTAAAATACTTAACTGTGAAACTGGAATGCAAGAACTCTATTTGTTGCCATGCACTCTCAGAGTGGACTAGCTTGTTCACTGGGAGCACCGGTGCGACCAACTTTCTCATTTGGTCGCACCTCTCACCCTGTCACAGGCAAACATATGAGTTGCTGAACATTTTGTTATCGATAAACTCTCCAATTTACCGACGTTCACTAAGCGCCTCACACTGCAGGCTGCTGTACCAGCTGTTGGTATCTGTGGTGTGTTCAGACAGGTGTGCGACCAAAAGTGACTTTAAAAAGAGTAAACTGGGACGTTCTAATGTCAGATTTGTCCAAGATGAAACTGAGCGATTTTATTGATTTATTTTTTAAAACATGCACCCTTTCTATAAGTGGAAACAGCGAAGGCAGGTGCATTCCGTTTTTCATGAGAAGACTGCATTTTTAAGCATAAATACTGCACTACACCAAAGTTATAAAAGTACTGCTTTCCATCACTGTGGTAAACACAGTAGGTCCTGGTTACAGCGACACTAATACAGCTTGATGATCATCATGCACTCGCAACAATGCGACCGCTTGAAATTGCCCTGAATCTGAATAATATGAGAGGACACAGGACCTCACACTAAATGGGCCTCTGCTTTTAGCTATGAGTTAACTCTGTTCAAAAATGTTCAGAAAGAAAAAATGCACAACTGAGCAACAACTTGACTTTTTTCGTTTTTGTGTATCACTCCACTGATGTTGCTCAGATGCTGTGATTATAAGCAGTAGGGCACATTAGTCTACAATCTGATTAGTCAAAGCTTCGGCTTACCAGTGTTCTTTTCTCTTTTCAGTTCTTTCCTCTTCCTCTGGAGATCCTGGAGGAGATCTTCCTGAACCTTCCTCCCCATGAAGTGGTTTGTCTTTGCCGGTTAGTGTGCTGTCAGTGGAAAGAAGTAGCAGACAGTGAATCTCTGTGGAGGGAGAGATGTAGAAGAGAGCGATATCACCGCTGTGATGATTCCAAAATACCTGACGACTGCCGGTTGTTTTACTTCATATGCAAGAAGAGAAGAAATCTTCTCAAGAATCCGAATGGAGAAAGTAAGAAACCACTAAACTGAGTGCACTCAACATTTGGAGGCATTAGCAGCATTATTTTCTTGCCGAAACAACTATTTAACTCCACAAATTGATTCCTCGCCCACTCGTCACTTTTGTTTTTACAGATAAAATGAAGAATTGGCAGATAATAGAGAATGGTGGTGATAAGTGGAAAATAGAAGGACTTATGGCGCCACATCCAAATGAGAAGGTCCAGAGAAACTTTGTGACCTCTTATGGGTGAGTATTCACCAGCAGCGGTCCAGAAAATATATAGCAATTGCTTTATATGGGTCATTTAAATTATATAGTAATAACCCTAAAACCATTTTCAACATCCTTTTCTGTTGTCTGCAGAATGTGCAGAAAGGCACAGCTGATTGATTTGGAGAAGGAAGGTTACAACCCATTCTTTATGGATCAATTCCAGCCACACATCAGAGTATCTGACTGGTGAGAAGAATATGCATGAAATACTTTCACAGCTCATTAAATGTTTCCTTAGTTAGTGGAAAAATTAAATCGGTAACAAACACAATCCAGAAATGTTCCGAGTGCGCATAAGAGCAATGGAGTAATAGAATAATGTCTCTAATCTATAAAAAAAAAAGACATACTGAGCACTGAGTTGGGAGTTTCCTAAACTTTTAACCAACAGAAATACTTAGATTTCATTAAAACCTTTACACTGTTACTGTAGATAACACTTTAAATCCAAAAGGCTTGCAAATCCCAATACATATGACCTCGTAACGTCTAACAGAGGGGAGGCATGCCATTTAAACAGAGAGTGGTGCTAATATGAAGTCAAATAAACGTAAAGGACAAGAAAACAAAATAATGTGCCTCATTTATTCTGCCTATTTACTCTATTTGATCAAACAGATTTGTGTCAGCAGCAGTGTTTCCATCCATAAATGAAGGGTTTTCATGTGTGGAAAACCTGTCAGTTACATCTTTAGTATTTTTTTATTTGCACTGTTTAGAGACACAATGTAATTATGCTCTCAAAATAAGACCACTTTCAACTCTCATCGTGCAACACAGAACATGTATTTGTATTTATGAGCATTTTTCTTTTAACCCAATTAGGATTCAGGTAGGATGCTGTAACTGTTATTCAAAGAGTATTAAAGAAATAAGTGAAAGATGTAGGAATTTGTCCCTGTTGCACTTTTAAAATATGATCTGTGTTGTGTGATATTAGGTACGCACCACGATGGGACTGTGGCAGTGAATATACGATCTCCGTGCAGCTGCTGAATCACAGGAAGGAAGTTGTTAAGAAATTTGCTCCTGATACCGTTTACTTTCAGCAGTGGAATGATCAGCAGTGGAATCAGGTATGTACAAAGGATGAAATCTAATGAGGTTAAGTCGAGGTAAAAAAAAATCCAAGGACAGCTCTGGATTGCTGTCATGTATTTTTCAGATGATCCATGTATTCAAGAGCTACGGACCAGGAGTGAGATACATCCGGTTTATGCACGGCGGCAAGGACACACAGTTCTGGGCGGGATGGTATGGAATTCGCGTTACAGGCAGCTGCGTTGAGATATGTTCAGCAGTGGACACGTAGCCTTTTTGGGATTACCAATACTTCCATCCTGCCTTTGTCTGCAGTTGCACGTTATGTAATTACATCTCATTTATCTTTATATAACCTGCAGTCATTTTACGTGTTAAAGCATCGTTCTTCAGGTAAAAAAAACAAAAAAAGAGAAGCTTTGATTACTGTTTGCTGCACCAGTAATAAAATGTAAAAAGAATTTCCAGTTGTGCCTCCAAAAGATATAAATGTAGATGTATGTTAGCATAACCTGCTTTGGTACAATGAGGATTATAAGTTGAAGTAGTACTGACAAGATGTAACTTTTGTTGTAATATACTGTATGTAAAACTGAAATTGTTAAAGAAAAAAAAACAAAGAAACCTCTCTAAATTATGCACCTTTCTTTGCGTTAAATCACCTTAAGAAATCATTTATTTAAAGATATAACAGAATATTTCTACATTAAAAAGTCTAAAAATGACCAGACCGATATATATTTTGTCAGCTTGTGTTTATCCCAAAAATTCCCAATAATGTTCAAACCCAGAAAAGTACTGTGCAATCTAATGGACTGTTTCATTTTGATCATATGTCAGTGACGTCAAATCATGTGTAGCTGAAGGAAGAAGTAGGCAAACTAGTGAGTTAGCCACTTGTTTTTTTTGTTGTTGTTCTCTTGTTTGTTTCGCTCACTCACCAGCTGTACGGGTAGTTGACTCTTGTTAATGTAAGTTAGTAATTACCATTACATTAGAATAATGACAATGGTGAATATATATGTGACTAAACATAACCTGAATGAGGCTTAAATACATCACGTTGACTGTGAACATCATTTGTGCCTGAGATGTGCCTGCCAGTTAATATGCAAATATTACATTTGTATTTTAATATTATACGAGATGAGTAAGTGTTTTAGAGTTAAACTTCACTGGTGTGTTACAATCTGATATAACTGTGGAAGCTCAAGAGTTAGTGCTTGCTACAGAGAAGAAACTTCCTCAGTTCTCTGTTAGCTTGACTGTCCACTTTATTCTTTAAAATATTTATAGCCATGTTGCCGATCTTGGACTGACACCCTGTAAACAAAGTTTATGGGACTGTGTAAGCAATTATATAGCCGTCTGTTATGGTTTATTACAGTGGTGTTTCTCTTTTATTGTTCTTACACATTTTGCTCTAGAAACCACATGCACGCAAAGTGTAAGTCTGCACAGCCTTCTAGTAAAGTACGAGAAATCTTTGAAGCCTCCTCTCGTGTATTCCAACCGATGCGCCACAGTGATTACAAACTCCATCACCAAAGATGTTTAGCAGAAGATCTGAAACATCACCCCAAGGTTCATGGATAATTATCTCCTCATAAAGAGCCTCCTACACATATTTTTTGTGATGAAGTTAGTTGCTTGGATATCGAAGAGCCATTATAATCTCCGAGACCAAAGTGCAGCTCTGCAGAACAGGCCCTTAATTGAATCTGGTTTCTGTTTGTTCTATATATTTACTGAAAAGTAGGGTGAAGGCATATTCATTGAGTATATTTGTATGAAGGCCTAAGTGGGCGCTGTGACTTCATTATTTGTGGAAACATCTACAATAAAGCAGCTTTGGACAAGGAAAAAGTCAGAAGTTGTTCTCTTAGCTAACAAAGGATCTAACTACAAATGCCATTGTAATGAAACACTGGTGTTCGGCATACCAGCACTAATGCAAGTATTCTTTGCACTCCTGTAACGCTCTACTTATGACGCTGACAATTTGTATTGAAAATGTTTTTTTGTGGGTGTTGCAGAACCTGTTTGTGTTTGACTCTGTCTCATACTTCCATCGTAAGTGTATATGCTGACAAACCGTATCCATGTAACAATCAAATCACAACACATGTATTTGACGTAAGATTTAATCATAATACTGGTTTATTGTGATGCTTTATTACAAGCAAGATACAGTACAACTTTGATGTCAAATTGAATAAAAATGAAAAGACTCAAAGAAACATTTTCCTGGTTAGATTTCAGTGTCATCTCTGCTTCTCTAAATCTTATCAGTAATGCACACATTTTATTCAGTCAATAAGTTATGAGTTATTCTCACTCTATGTACAAGTCAAATTCGAGCCCGCAGTCTCGGCATGGGGTGTAGTAAAGGACAAATGCAAATATCACTAGTTCAGTCATTTTACAACTCTCACAGGATCTCTGTTAATGACGCTGCATTGTAACAGAAGATGTATTCAGTTTACAAAATAGCTCATCATTCTGGCATTAGAAATGGATACGCTCCTACAAAGTTCACCCACTGCAACTTTTGATCATCATTCAGGACATACGTCACCTGCTTCTTAACTCGCCCGTCATAAAAAGTAAATGACTGGGAAATCGTTGTGCTCAAACTCCTCGCATGTAGTTACTTAAATTGACTTTTTGGCACACAGCTGTCAGTGTACCATACATACATTTTACATTTTTTTCTTCGCTCTCTGCTTTGTCAGGCGTCAATTTACCAGGTTTTGATTTGGCAAACTAGACGTAACTTAGGGAATAGCCTACAAATGTCATATTCCTTCATATATTTCATAGATCTGCCTGAAGTATGTTGAAATTGAGCAAAATACTTAAAAAAAAAAAAAAAAAAAAGTGACTGCAGCAGGATTTATATTGCTACTGCAGATACACAACTGGTCAACCAGATGCAGAAATGTGTGCCATGACTGAATGTATCTTATAAAATAAACTTTGAGGGAGTTACTTAAAGCAGAATTTGAGCATTTCACGAAAGCGTCGTCATCAGCTTGTACAGGACAGCTGAAACATCTGCTCTAACAAAATACCATTTCATAGTCAGTTCATTTGTAACAACACCTCTGTATATGAAACTAAACACAACATGGTTGAACAGAAACAATATTTCAAAGTGTCCTTTACAGTTTGCTGATAGGTTTAGCATTCGGTGCTCACATCAGGCAGGACCATTTCAATGGCAGCAAATTATCACAAACAGCATCAAATGTTATTCACTCTTAATATCACGTTCAACACATTAAAAATGCTTTTCAGTTAAATCAGTGAGAATGCTAATATTTAATAATATCCTAACTCATGATGGAATGTGAAAACCTCCTCAGTACTGTTAACCTACATTTGGAAACTGGTGTGAAGAAGACTGTGACGAAACTTAGAGCAGAACACATTTACGTCTTTTCTTAGGTTCAGGAGGCTCCAGGGCAGCCAGTATTGCCTCATCAAACACATTCTTTAATCCTTTCTGTGGAAACAAAAGATGAATATTGAACACACAGCTTTTTTTCCCCCCCAAAATACAGAGTAACATCTTCTGGAACTAAGAGCAAAAGAAAGCTGAGTAGAAATGGAGCAGGGCAATCAAAATTTTCCTTTATTCAAATAACATTATACAAGACTCTTCTCATGATCAAGTTGTCTTAATAAAGACAAAAGCCCATGGAAAATTTTGATGCTGCAGTACAAAAAAACTTGTATTACTGTCTAAGACAGAATGTAGCATAAATGCATTTGTAGGGTACAACTCTTGAGCTCAATACTCAGATAATAACAGAATGTCAGTTAAAAAACAAACCCAGTCATGTCCACTTACACAGACTTGCACTCAAGGTGCTGACAACAGAATGGAGAACTAAAGATTGGCACGCTATCATCTTAGGCAGCATGGGTAATTGTGATTAGGCCAAGTCGAAAAGAAAGCACACATGAACAGAAGGAAAAATCTTAATGGGCACAAAGTTTAAAAGTTTAAAAGAGCGTGGCGGTTATTTTAGTGATAGACATTTGTTTACAATGAATAAGCAGCAGACAATCGAGAGGCAAAGCAAGATGCAAAAAGACATCAGAACAAACAGCATTTTCTCTTTCTCTGAGTTTCAGGGGGCTCTAAAGCGGCTAGGATAGCCTCATCAAATACGTTCTTCAGTCCCCGCTACAGAAAGAGAAAAAGAAGGGAGAAAGACAGGCACACGACACAGAGTTAGTTGGAGTCTTGAGCCAAATGCTGTTAGCAAAACGCAAGGCAAAGCATTCCACCCTCGTTAGGAAACTGACATTGAAAAGCATGCTTGTTACACCAGCAGTCAGTGTTGTATAAGGCGGGGATCTTACCTGTGTTAGGGCAGAGCACTCGACGTATTTGACTGCCTTAAGGTCTCGAGCCAGCTTTTCTGCTGTCTCAGGGGTGATTGGCTTCTGTTTGTTCTTGGCGAGCTTCTCCACTGTGGAGGGGTCATCGCGCAGGTCGATCTGAGTACCTACCAACAGGAACGGGGTCTTGGGACAGTGGTGAGTTATTTCAGGGACCCACTGAAGAAAAAAAAAAGAGACAAATCGCTCATCACCACAAGTCAGGATGCATTATTCTGCAGGCTATTGTGCACAAAAATGCACTTAAACATTCATGTAAGTATTCTAAAAGTTAATAGTCTGTTAGACTATATAAAGTGGTCACACAAAAGAAAGACATTTATTTAATAGATAAATCTCCCAATGTTTAGGTCTTGAACTAAATAAATCCACAAGTTATCCAGATGTTCATAGAAATGCTTCAGGGAGTATCTTCTGAAATGATATACATCAAAATGCAAAGCTGAATCATATACCTCTCAACAAAATATTTGTGTTCTATTCAACAAATCTGAACCTGTAACACAATTGCATAGTTAAACTTGCTTTCTTGGTTATCTGCTTTTAAATTAAAGATACTCCTTCATACTTTTATTTGGACCCTGATCTGTGATAATCAGATCATGTGCATAAGTGCTTCTAGCACTTTACGATACAGGCAGAGAGGAGGAGAAATACTGAACAGTAGCAGATTGTGGTGCATTTAGAGTAAACACATAAAAACTGTTTCCATCTCTATTAGCATTTCAAAAATGAATCATGAAACATCCACTGTGTTTCATCTGAACAGTTAACCTATGCTTTATCATCGCTATTCCACTTAGTATCAGTCAGTGGATGAACCTCAGGTCTTTGCTCACCTAATAATACTGAGCAGAGTACTATGTTATGGAATATACCATGAAGTCACTTTAATTTTTTGATTAGGAAGGTCTCAATCTAGAGAAGGAAGAAGAGGGATTAATAGGGGTTGCTGGTGAGTTGCTTTACTACTATTAAAATAAACAGTATGCACTCACCTTTTCTTTAACATTCTCAAATGAAGAAGGTGAAACGACTGAGAAACACACTAAGAAGACGTCAGTCTGTGGGTAGCTTAGTGGTCGTAACCTGTCGTAATCCTCCTGACCTATGGAGACAAGAAAAAACAAATTCATTTACAGCGACACACACTAACCCTGAACTCAGTTTAATTAAGAGTGGATTCACATTCAAAGCGTAACAACACAGACAGACCTGCTGTATCAAATAAGCCAAGGGTGTACGGTTCACCCCCGATCATTACAGTTACTGCATAGTTGTCAAACACCTGCGATCAAAGAATGAATTTCATGTCAAATCAGTTCAAGGCTATTTCTCACATTATTATTGAAATTTCTGTCAGCATGCATCTTAAAGTGATGAGAAAAAACTACTTACTGTTGGTACATATTCAGAAGGGAATTTGTTGGTGGTGTATGAAATCAAAAGGCAGGTTTTACCCACTGCTCCATCACCCACCACAACACACTTGATAGTCTGCATCTCTGTGCTTTCTGATGCTGCTGGCGATTACGTTAGCTGCAGGGAGGAAGGAGATGTAATAACTCACTGAGGTTAGGCCACTTAATATGTTAGAGTCGTATAAACACTAGCCCCAAAACAATGTTAGATTATGCAAGTGTCCTGCCTAATCAATAGCTAATGACATCTTGATTAAGCAGTGGGATCCGAGCGGAAAGGCTGTGTTTCCTAGCATTAACTAGTTCAGTGTCACACCCCATTATCACCAAAACTGTCTGGAGGCTAACGTCCGCTAATGATAACGTTCCTCAATTATTTACTCGCTTAACTGCCTTCCTACTTCTACGTATTTATAAATAAGGTGACGGATCCATCACACAGCGCGTCTCCACCGACTTTAACAGATGCGCAATGAAAATGAGTTTCTGTTTCGCTTAGCAAACTGTGCTAAGGCGATGCTAGCAATCACCACACAATGCTAACGAGTTAGCTTGCTGAGCTAGCAACCAGCCGGCTATCGGTAGCTTTAAACTAAAGCCTTGCGCGCTGGAGTTTAAGGTACCGCAACGAGGCCCAAAACAAATATCAGAGTTCAGGTATGTCAAATAACAACACACGAGGATGTCAGAGAAAATGTTTGGGCTACGTACCAGTATCCCTCCGTATCTCTGCTAGCTAACGTTAGCTGTCTGTTTCGCCGGGCGTTGGCACCAGCGAGCAGCAACTTGGTTCAGTCAGTCGATGAGCGGAGCAGAGTCCAGACTTCCACTACGACTGTCAAGCGACACGAAATCATACCGGATATTGTCAAAGTAAAACATTTAACGATTGGTACAAAACAAACAAACAAACAAAACAAAAAGCATATCGTACAAGAGAAAAACCAAAATGGATATATTAGAAGACCACAATAAATCTACAGTTGCTAATTTGAGGGAATTTAGTTTTATTAAATACAAACACTGTTCAAATGTTTTATTCTTGGGCTTTTATTTAGAAATCCAGCTTTCTCTAGGCATGCTGGCTAACTTGACCTAGATGTATGCGAAAGGTTCCTGCAGCAGAGGTGGTGATGTCACCTCCCTCCACCTGCATCCTCTCCTGGATCTGAGCCCTGCACGTCTACAGGTAGAACAGCACTCTGTTTGCAAATAGGAGGATCAATAGATTTAGACTTGATAGAGATAAATGTGATAAATGAGAGGATAGTTTCATATTTCCATGTCCTAACTGAGCCACCACTACCAGAGGGGCTATGGGTAGTTTTTCATTTGTGGTATTTTCTTGGATGATAGTGGCCTTGCTCATCTTTAAATAGTATTTGAAGAATTTTGCCAGTGTGAGGAAATCAGAAGAAGTTGTTTTGAGGTTTGCAATATTTTGACAGTACAAAATAAGCCTCTGTGTTTTTATGAGCACCCTCTTTGCTCCCTCTTACTTTTGTAACAAGGTGCTGGTAAGGCCCCATTGATAAATGATTTTCAATTTTTTTTAAACCTAAATTATCGATACATTATGTACCACATCATCTTATACAATAACATAATAAATTACCAGCAGTAAAAAAAAAAAAAAAAAAAAAGTACCATTATCTGTCTGTAAAGTTAGCTAGCTGACTTTCTAAGTTAATATTGTTATGCTTCTTTAGCTTACTGTAGCACTAGCTAGCTAGCTAGAATTCGTCATAAGTGTAGGCTAAGCATCTCTGCTGATTGGTGATTTGACATTGTTTGTATGCCAGGAATTTAATTATTAATGATAATAAAGTAAACTCTTGTTCTAGGTCCATAAACTCTTAATTAATTGACAACAATTAAATAGTTAAAAAAAAGGAAATCCAAATTGCTTTCTGTATGTCTAAGCAACTAAACGTGTAGGTGAAATTAATATTATGTGTAAGTTACTATGTTATACTGAGTTTCTGTTGATTAGGTGCATCTTTCTCAGGTCGTGGTGGAAAAATGCCCATTTTTAAGATTTCACATTTAGTTTTATTATAACAAAGCTGCAGTCTATTAAGTAAATTTCTTCACTTAAGCGTACTTGTTATGTACATATTGTTAATTAATATTTCCAAAGAAAGCAGGCATTGGGGCTGCAGGGTGGCGCAGTTGGTTACCACTGTTGCCGATTCGCGTTCTGGTGGGGGCACCGGGATCCTTCTGCATGGAGTTTGCATGTTCTCCCCGTGCAGCGTGGGTTCTCTTCGGGTTCTCCGGCTTCCTCCCACACAGTCCAAAAACATACTGAGGTTAATTGGTGATTCTAAATTGTCTGTAGGTGTGATTGGTTGTCTGTCTCTAAATGTAGCCCTGTGATAGACTGGTGACCTGTCCAGGGTGTCCCCTGCCTTCACCCTAAGCCAGCTGAGATAGGCTCCAGCCCCCCATGACCCTCGTGAGGATAAAGTGGTGTGTAGATAATGGATGGATGGAAACAGGCATTGTTCTTAATGGCAGCATCTAACCCAGGTTTACCCTACATTGAAACTGCCGTCCCTCGCAGAGGTCACTTGCCATCATAGTTGTACAGGTGCAAATAATAACAATAACAAGAACTGAATTCCATTTAGCAGCTGCGGTTTAATGGCTCACCACGATCCTTGTTGTGTTATGTGCTTTTGCTACTATGACAAGTCCACTGTGGAAAAAGCCTCAAAGGTTCTTTGTCCACTCTCAAAAGGAGGGATGCAATATCAAAAACAACAAACAGTGCAATCGTTTACAATGTAAACTAAATGTACCTTTGCGATACACATAAAGCAAACTTTATATGCATCTGAAAAATAAGATTTAATACAGGGTTATTGCATTACAATGCACGGGAATGTAATAATGAACAAATGATTAATGCTGTTCTGTGGTGTTTTCACATTTCTGAAAGCGGACACAATTGTGCAACTTCTTGCAGCTCCAACCACCAGAGTAATAAAATCTACTCGGCCAGGATCAGTAATCATCATCGCCGTCCTCAGAGAATCTAATATTTAACTTTTTCTGTGGAATTTGAGGGCAATTTACCTCTGATTGTGACTGGGGGTCACCAGTTTACATAATTTACCTTGGATAGAAACACTCCATCTCTGCTGCAGGTATCCAGTGAGATTATGCCGTGTCACTCAGAGCAAGAACCAGAGGCCTAAGCAAGTGTGAAATTATATTAATGTGAAGAAATTATAACTCTGTGATCCTTCCTCAGTGTAACAGGAGAAGAGAGAGCAGCACATAACCACCATCCAACCTTATTGTTGTCCATGTTTGTCTTTTAAAAGCAGCTCTTTATAGTTAGCCTCTCAGTTGCACATCAATGGATTTTAACTCTGCATTGTTTTAAGATCTTAGGAGTCCAACATTGATAGACTTTGTGAAAAAACCCTAGAAATTGGGGGTCAGTTGCAAATAAAATACCAACGACTGTGGCCGTTCTTCTAAAGTCTGCAAATAAGTTAAATGAAAGCCAACATCATCAGTTCTCCAGGGGTGCTAATTTTAAGGTGATTGGATATTCAAAAGTTGGGCCTAAAGTTGTCTCAGACCCTGGCACTAATGAGGCTTTAATCATTTAAAACGAAGGAAAAAAAGTGCCTAAATGCTTCTTTTTCACTTGGTTTATTTTCAGGTCAGTTCACACACTGAAGGAATGTACCTATGTTTTAAAATTGTGGCGTTGCCCAACTTTAATTCATGTTTGAGTTTTGATGAAAAACGGTATTTTCTTTTCAGCCTTTGTCCACCACACAATGATATGCGTTGACGCCAAACAGCACAGCATTAAAATAAAGAGGATCCAACGTAGAGCCGCCCACCAGCTGGATAAAACAAACACAGAAATCAAGTTGCACCGTCATTTTTGGGGTATGTGACAAGTAATTGTATGCTTCGTCATTTAAATATATAAAACATTGTAAGCAAAATATAGAACGGTATCAATCCATAGCCTCTGCTCACCTTGTTTGTTCTTGTTCCAGTATTAGGAATGAGTTGATTTGTGTGGTGGTGAGTGGGGTTGTCACTGTGGAAAACGACACTTTGCGTTAACAAAAATCCACGTGATATAACACTACTTACTTTCCTCAAATACTAGTAATATAAAGCAGTTACAATGAAGGACAGCACACCTAATAAGAATTTTCTGTGTTATTTTTATAATATATTTAATATTTACATACAGTTGAAATGCTTTTACAGATAGTTTCTCATATTCCCAAGAAACAATCTAGGAGAATTAGTAGGTATTTTCAGGCTTGAAGACTTTTGGAATTGAAGTGGAATATGATGTATAACATCAGCCATCAACATCTTTAATATAAAAATATAGCATTCAAAATTGAGTATTTTTTAAAATCTTGAAACCCCTCTTGCTGGAATTGATTTCATAATCCTTTGCGCTTGGTTGTTTTTTCGATTTTGTTTTGTTTTTTTACCATAGGAATTTCTCTTGGGTTTCACCACACAGCGTTACCACAACAAAATGACAACACGTGATGACAAACACTGACCTAACAACTGGTTTCACACGCTAAGGATTTCTCAAGATCAAAAACTAATCAAAGTTGCAGTTTAGTAGAAAAGAAACGAAGTAATTCATTAAAAACTAATCTGTTTATGTCACTAGATTTTCATTCAGATGTTAATGTACTGTTAAAGATGCTTTCAGGTGAATGTCTACTTTTACTTGTTAACATGTCCATATGGTGGTTTGTTTGTTTTTTTTTGCTAGAAACCACATCACAAGCAAAATAACTCAACAATGGCTCAGAATTGTCCCTCCTTGAAGCAGTGTACCGATAAAAGTCTCAAACACAGATTCAGACTAACACAGTTTCACATGCAACAAACTTTATAGACTATTCCTCTGAACTTGCAATGTGGGGATTTCCATATCATTGTCCTTCTTCAGAATCGGCCCAACCTGAAATACTCCAGTATTACAACTGGCAATGTGTAACGTTCAGTAGTTTTATGATGATTATTATTATGATTTGAGCAAAATTGTAGGTGAGCTGGTGTGCTTGAGTTGCTCTAAGTGTGAAGGGGAGGATGCAGGGACTACATAGATCTAGATATTCTAGAGAAGGCAATGGTGTGGTGACATCTCAGCCAATTTAAGATAGGAAAGGAATATTTCCATGTAAATAACACTGAGATGAGTTTGGGGGGGTTGCATCAACTTTTGACAGACTTTTTTAGGTGACGGTAACTCAGATGAAACAACCAAAAGCTGTTGGTACATTGTGATCAACAAATGATTCAAATGATTCTTGTCTAGTTTTGCCTGTAGTCAAGTTCAGAGTCAGCTTTTTGAGTTTGTCTTCATTTGTCATAAATCTGTTTTATCAAATCAAGCCTTTAAAAAAAAGCAGAAGCACTATTGTGTTACGCCCACGAAAGTGTTTGAGCTGATCCAGTTTAGGTTTTACCTGTGTCGGAGACGAGCAGCCTGACGCGACTGAAGATGTTTCTTCCATGTCTGGCGATGACACACCAGTACATGTCCTCATCTGTTTTTTGAAGTAACGTCATGGTTACAGTGAAGACTCCCGCTTCCTTATCATCCACAATGGAGCTTCGGTCATTCTGTCGCACCTTTGGTGTTTTCACTATTATCGTACACAGCTCGTATACCTGCCCTTTGCACCAGTACTTTGTGTATTCTTTAAACTGAAGGCTGTACTGACACGAGATGGTGACAGATCCATTGTATGTTCCTGTTACCACCTCTGGAGCCGATAGCTGCGCTGAGTCCACTGTGTGCTTGGTTAGCCACAAGAAACACAGAACTGGAGCTGTAAAATCAAAGAATATTTCCCATGATATTGGTTACTGAGATCACTTTTGTTTCCCGAGTCAGTCTGCTATAGGATATAGTCTGGTTTATTTACCTTTAAAGATCCCAGCACAGATCCCTGAGGTCCTCATGATGGGGATGAGAAGGACAATGCAAAGCAGAAGCAAAATGAGCGACATTTAAAGGGTTCCTCTTTCTTCACCCTAGTAGTTGTGCAATATTTGCGTAGGCTGGTGTTTGTACAATCTGTATTGTATTCAGGTCCTATTTTAATGCAGGGTTACCACCTGTCACGTGTTTGTCTTGAGACAAGGCTCTGTCTCACGGAGCCCAAACAAATCTCAGGCCAAATAAGAGGAAGCCTCAGGATCTCAGTAAACAAGCTTTTTCTGCCCACAGGTCTGAGCATTGGGCTGTTTTCCACAGTTCAGCACCAACGCTGATCCATAAACATGAAAGAAAGTGCAAAATAGCAGCTCAGATAGTTTGTTGATGGAGGTGCAAATGCACAGACTTCACTAGTGTGTCCAATTTTGTCTCATTGATTTTGCTCTAATTTCACATATAAACTGAAAAGTCCACAATGATACCAGTTTTGATGCGACTGAGACAGAATCTATCTCGGATCAGATTATTGAAGCTGTTTCCTCATGCAACTGATTCAGACTTTGCCAAAACATTTACAAGCTGTGGGATGTTTTAAAGGTTATTTTTTTAGCTATACAATTTGCTCTATTTAACCATCTCTGAAGTGAGAGTTGCTCTGTGAATTTACCCATGAGGGCCAACACCATAAGTTAAAAAAAAAAGAAAGAAAAAAAAAGAATCATTTATAATTTGCATTTATCCTTTTGGGGCATGGCCTGGTGGTGAATTACCTTCTGTACTTTTCTGTACAGAAATATATAACAGAAAAGTACAGAGGGTAATTTGTTTACTCTGGAAAGTAAAAAATATCAAGTCATGTGATTTCACATCCTTTTTCATTACTTCAGCTTTGCTGCTGTACTCACAGTGACCACTTCTCATTCAACCTCTGCTCAGTAGAATATTGCAACAGGATGTAACAGTAACAACACACCATGTTGCACCATGTACAGTATGAACCAAGCTGGTTCACAAGTTTAGAAGTTTAAAGGTGAAAATCAGAAAAGAAAAAAAATGTCAGTAACACAGCATGCAGTCCAGACTGTAGGCAGTTGGAGAGTTGTGTATTTGTGGTTCTTGGGGCTCTGTGGTTGTGTTCAAAGATCAGGTCAAGGATTCCCTGAGAAGCTCTTTAGTAGCTTTGACCGTTTGTTTTGGATTCTCGTCCTGCTGAAATGTTGCCGAATGATCATTCTGATGCTTTTGACTGAATGCGAGCGCACAGAACGCTCCTGTATAATTCTGTATTCAGTCAGAACAGAACAGAATCGAATAAAATATCTTTTTTTAGTCCCACAAGCAGAAATTTGCAGCGTCACAGCAGCAAGGTGACAGTAACAAAAGCAAGAAAACACAACTATAAATTAAAGAGGCGAGGTTCAGGTTCAGCTGCTTCCGTCAGCAGTGAAATCTCAAATAAAAGCCAGTGTGCCAGTTTTATTGGCTGCCATACATGGCCAAGCCTAAACAGAATTAACACAACAGATGAGAGGTCAGGCAGTGTGCTTTGGGCCATTGAGCTATTCCTTTTTTCTCCACATTTTCCTCATCATTTTGATAGGGGTAGAGTTTTTGTGTTTTTTTTAACAAACTATACCCAGGCCTGTGGGATTCCAACTCCTACTGGGGGTTAGTTGGCACACAGGTTAGCCTCCATCCTGCACTCTGTAACCATAATCATTTTGTCCTCCTGTGAGAACTCGAGGAAACTTTAAAACCAGTTTATTTACTTCAACATTAGGTGGCACTAGAGATCAGTGTATCAGACGGCATAATGTACAGCCTGTAAGTCTAATTCAGCTGTTTTCTCCCCAGGTTTCGGTAGCACAGACTAATCACACTGTAAAATGTTTGAAAACCCCATGCAGATATAATTTACTGTGAGACAAACCGTATTATCTTTTGCCCCATTGCTTCGCATCTATTGCATTTGTCTGACTATTTCCTCAGGCTTTCATTCCCCTAATTTGATTCTTTGCCATTTTGTGCCACTGTACATTCTAATGGCTTAATAATGATGTAACTGATGCTAGTAATATAACAGATTAGGCTTTCAGAGTTTCCCTTCTTGGGCTTCAATATTTCATGATCGGGTGTTTGACTTTTCTGTTTTCTGAGGTGCACTTTAGACCTGCTGGTTTTAATGGATTTTATGTAGGTTTAATTATGTCACACTTCATGCTGGAGTTTAGTTTTTGTTGTCAACTTGATCTTTACTGGGGTATTTCATCAACACATTGCTTTGTCATAGTGTCGATAGGAAGTTTGAAATGATTTCAGTTCTTATCCATCATGCAATGCAATCAGGGAGGCATCAGATTGGTTTCAAATTTATTTTGAGGATCCCAAACATACAGCTTAGAGTCATAAAAACTCTATCTTGAGTCTCAAGTAGAATATGTAGCCCTGCAACAGATGGCGTGGCCTCCGCGGAGCCCCGATCTCGACTTCATGGAGTCGGTCTGGGATTATATGATGAGACAGAAGCCACTGAGACAGATTGAATCCACAGATGAACTGTTGCAAGTTCTCCAAGATTCTGCAGACTGAAAAAAAAAAAAACAGTGTAGGAGAATTTGTGCAGTTTTAAGGCAAAGCACACCAAATATTTAGTATTGAAGCATTTTCCATTCACTGCTGTTTGTATGAGGTTAATTGGCAAATAAGAATCATACATACTTCTTGAAAGCATTCTCACTTTACCTTCAGTGCCTTAAACATTATGACAGTACTATACATATATGTATGTGTTTATGTTTTCTGGGCGAAGGCGTATTCATCCATATCACGGATCTTTTCCAGCTCTTGTCTGTTTGCCAGATTTTAAATTAAAGCCTGTAAAAAAGTGACATGCGGCTCTATACATCTACATTTGTACATAGCAAATGCAGTAAGGAAAACCATGTGGATAGCAAATAGCACAAGGTCAGAAAGCACTGATGTGACATTGTTATACATTATAATACATTCTTCCTGAGGTATCTCACTTTTAATTAAAATCTGTGAATATTTCCCCACTTTTACCAACTTGTAGGAGTTTGGATGGAAAACTTAAATGACCCGATTAGCGTTAATGTCAATTCCCACCAAAAAAACAGAACTATCTTGATGACACATGTTGATGAGTATGTGGACAGTATGGTTGCAACACCCACAACCTCAAATCTCTATAGCTTCTTACAGAATAGCTTCTCACAGTTATTATGAAACTCATTTAGGGTTTGTAAATATTTAAGATGCTATTTGATGAGATCACTGTGTTGGCAATCTTTTTAAACGGATGTATAATGTAAGTATATGTATATTATATTATAGAATTAGTCTTTGATTGGTACCTTAAGGAAAGAATTCTCATGTGGGCTTTTCAATGAATGATCCTGGAAAAAAATGTAAATGACCTTGGTGACTATTTAAATTGGATTGTTTGTCATGCGTAGCTAAGAGAATCAGTGGTTAATGAAACATCCTACAGCCAGCCACCTTGACATTTGTTTGACTTCTTTTTTTTCTTTTTTTTAATTATTGAGACATACTCAGAAAAGCAGAAGGGTATGTTTTGAAAACCAAATACTTCTGCTTCCAGGCTCCGGCTCAGCCAAGGTGCTTTCTGCTGACAGCAGCATATCTTTCTTTAAATATTACATAAACTGTGCAAGATAAAGAAGGCAACAGTATAATGGAAGCTAAATGATTAGATAAGTTCTTCATTTACCCCGTGAATGCTTTGGATTCGAATGCAAATCATTCTTCATGACATATCACGGTCCTCCTTTCAGCATGATTAGAGTTGTCAAACATATTTATCATCACATATCTGCAGTCTAAATTGGTTTTCAAAGGCAATTTTGCCTGTTGTTTGTGTGAGTCGACTTCTAATGTTTGATGTCACCGCTCAACGGTGACAGCAAATTTACTGCACGACACAAAAGGCATATTCCATATAAAAGATTCCTGCACTTTAGTCAAATCGTAAATATCTCCTTCCTCTTGTTTTGCTGTGTCTCTACGCATAGGCACGTCACTTCATATATGCAGTTTTATCGAGTATGAGCTCTTAAACAACAATTTCACTCAGTTTTGGTAGATAAGGTGTAATTGGTAAAATGCACTATGTCTACACCTCTGAAAACAACACATTTTTTAATGGTCCTTTTAGGTTTGTGTAGTGATTTTTTAAAAACAAGTCCCTGGCCCGTTTGCTGCAGAACTTGGAATTGCATTTGCTTTGGATAAATGAGTCCTTCACACAAGGAGAAAGTGCGCCTGTGGAGAATGTGCTCGAAAGCCTGATAAGTAATCACATATTCTCCTCAAGTTTAATCTTCTCTGAAACAACCTTTTTGCAAATAAACACATTTTGGCAATTTTTTTTTGTAAGTCTGGCTAAACTGGATTATGTGTGAAAGTGAGTCCAACTGATAGATAAGTTCCCTGTGCAAGGCAGTCGCAGGCAAAGTACTGTTTCTGGCAGGTAAGTCGGTGCTGTTTTGTCTTTTCTCTCATTTTTATACAATAACTGCACCCGGTATCTAGTATTTCCAAGATTTGGATATGCATTACATCTCATCCATGCAGTTTTCAGCATCACTTAAATTTCTTTTAACACCAAGATAACCTTGTGCCTTTTAACTTGCCTGCTCTGGCCCTGCTGGGAAGTGATTCATAAATACGAGACGTAATGTGTTAGGTTATCATTTCTTTTGATGGTCAGATATTAAACTGCATCATGGTTTTGGTCTGTAAACAATGAGTTTCTTATCTACAAATTCTCATTTTTCATACTATTGTGCTATCGTGGCCACAATACAGACCATTTCCACCCATTTTTATGCCCATTGGCATCCACATGTGTCTCTGCATTCATCGTCTGTATGTCTTAGTCATAGTGATGCACAATATTAAAATTTCTGGCCGATAACGATATCTGATATTAAGATTTCTGATATCGCCGATAACCGATATTACCAATGTCGATATTTAATTTTTGTAAGCACTGTGAGAACGTGAAAACTATTCAAAAGAAGCCACATTAGACCACATAGTCGTCTTTATTACATAACAAAAGTAAAACATATTTAAACATATTTAACGTTCAAGTCCAGGACCATTTAAGTAGAACCATCTGTGAAATAGCAGCAATATCAAATGTCAAGACGAAGGCGCTAATGTTAGACAATCATCAGTTTTTCACATTGGCTAAATTTGTTCATTGGACCGATACCAATATATTGGAAAAAACACTAATATCAGTGACACCGATGTGGTCACCGATATATTAGGCATCTGGTTACCACTAAGAACAAACAACTGTCCACTCAACGCCCGAAAAAATCCGTACGATTGGGCCGCCGCTTAAGCTCACCTGGTTGAGCTGGCGACCCATGTACAGGGGCTATAGTCTCCAATGCAGCGGCCATAGGTTTGAATCCCGCTCACGGCCCTTTGCTGCAGCCCCTTCCCCCATTCTTCTCCCCCACTTTCCCGTCTCTCTTCAACTGTCCTATCTAATAAAGGCAAAAAGGCCAAAAAAAATACCTTTAAAAAAAAAAAAAATCCCTCTGACAATAAGTTTTTAGTCTGTTTTTAAAAGAAATACTCCCTATAAAGACCAATACTAAACACAATTAGGAAGTTGTGAGTGCTTCAGTTGTCACTACAGTGTAAAATGTTGTACTCCTGGGCAGAAATGGCAAACCTGAACTCTTCTCTCTGTTAGTGGATGGAACTTTGGCTCTGCAGGGTGAGATCATCTACAGATATCTGCAGACTTGGCACTCTTAAAATTGGGGATCATCTGCTCTAATCCATTTCTGCTCCCACATTAGCTTCTCACAAATGGTGTCTAACCCTGCCAACCGCCAGACCTTCATCAGCTCAGTCATTTCATTCCCGAGGAAAGCATGAGTGTGATGGGCTCGACAGTGGCTGGGAATACTCAGCCAACAGAGGAAGCCCTCGCGGGGATAAGCGGTAATTCTCTGTTTTTCCTCGAGGTTTGCTTGTAAAGTCTGGTTATCTGTTCCACTTTGACTTTTTTCCTCAGCAAAGTTTATTTAATTCCGTACCTGATAGCAAATATGACACAACGCCACAACAAATACCTGTCCAACTGACAAGCTGGCCATATTACAAAACAGAAGTGCAGTATTAAATATTTTATATCTGCTGACATTAAACAGGAGATGAGAGCTGCCTTTGAGAATGAGGCCAAGCGGAGCAACAAGGCTCGTTTTCTGATGTCTGCTGCTGTGTCGGCTGGAAAGGACACCATTGATTCTGCTTATCAGATTCCCGAGCTTGGTCAGAGAGCGTTTGAAACAACATTTGTGGTGTGTGTCCAAACTTATAAACAGCTAAACGACTCTGAACTTCACTCCTACATCCTAAAATCATTAATGTAAGCTTGTTAAGGTTACCATAGTGACCTGTCCTTGTTTACCACACCCAGGACGCCGGATATGATCAATGTCATGACACATGACTTCCATATCTTATGGGGACCGGTGAGTGCAGTACCCCCTGTTCAGAGGTCCTGAAACCATCTTCATCTATTTCAGTGTGGTGATCTTAAATGTCTTCATGATTAATGCTCTGTAGAAAAGGAATCAGTGAAAAGCTGGCAGCAAGGGTGAAAGAAAAAATATGTTAAAAAAAAAATAAAAAATAGTGTGATACTGTAAAATAATAATAAAAAAAAGCAGCTATTTGATATTTTTTATGTGGATTTATATCATAAAAACAGTGTAATTTCACAGCCAAAAAGACATTAAAAATGAATTACATTTTGTAAAAATATAGAGTCTGGAGTTTAAAACTGTAAAATAAATTTAAAACAATTTTTCCCCACCAGTATACACATTATACTTCTTCAAAAACAGGAAATAGCTGTCTAATAATGTTTTTGGTTGATTCGAATGCAGTAAAAATTCTCTCATTTCATAGTCAAACATTGCAAAAGATGTATTACCACTTGTAAAAATACAGATTTTTGGTTAACTTGTAAATTAAAACATTTTCCTATAATTTTACAAGCTATCTGTACTTTAACAGAACAGGGAAAATTAATAAACCAGTTTGTATTCATTTGCAAAAATCTTTGTGTTAAAGTTACAGAAACAGTTTCTCTGCAAGTTTCAGGTAAAATAGCAAAACATCCACAAAAGCGACAATATATTTCCAATTCCTTTTTTCCCAACTTTGCAATGAACTACTGGGAGAGCCAGGAAGCCCGAGCTGAGAAGCTGATTGTCGGGTTCCCCACATATGGTAACATTCACACTTCAGAACCCTGCTGACCCAGGTGGAGGAGCACCTTCTGCTGGTTCTGGGGCTCCAGAAAAGTGCACAAGCGGCTGGGGAGCTCGCTTATCCTAAGGTGTGCTTTCTTGTTACCACAATAGAGTAAAAGAAGTCTGAATGTTGATGGTGGATTAGCGTTAATGTTAATACTTCCCCCCTTTACGCACAATAACAGAGCAGTGGGGGGGTTTATCGTAGTAATACAGACTTCAGATTAAGTAATTAATGCAACTGGAGGCTTTCATTAATGCACTGCTTTGTGAAATATACAGATCTGTGGCTTTTTGAAAGATGGAGCAACTCAGGCTTTGGAAACAGGCCCAGGATGTGCCATATGCCTACAAGGGAAACCAGTGGGTGGGATGTGACAACATCAAGAGCTTTCAGATCAAGGTAGCAGACATACACAGAATACTTGTTTTACCATTTGTCAGGACAGTCTGTTTGGCTGTGTTGAATTTCCCCCTGAGCTAAAAAAATAAAAATAAATAAATGTTTTCAATCTCCATAACCTGTAAAAGATGTATTCTGTATATATTAAGTGGTAAAAGTTTTCCCTCTGCGCGACGGCAGATAATGTGACAGGAACTAATGCATTAAACACTCTGTCAAGGTCTTGTGAAAAAGCCAAGTTTGCAACTGAGATTTCAAACGCTCGTCTACATCGCTCCCTGCTGGTGATCTTGAGGTTGACTGGCTGATGAAGAGTAAATTTGGAGAAAACGTGGTTCGAATTATTGATATGGACGACTAATTAGGCCATTTTCTGTCCAGGAAAAAAAGAAAAACTCACTGATTAATGTTCTCCAAAAAGGCCTTAATCTGAAACAAGCATCTGAGACTCCAAACCACATATATCATTAAGGACCACAGTGGAATACTTGTTTAAAATAGCTTTAAAAAAATAGCCAAATACAATCCCCTTCCTGCCACATCCAGTGGTGGCAGCTCCTCAAGTGGGGACACCAACAGCATGGACTGCAGGTTCAATCCTGGAAAGGCTAATGGCTGTCGAACAAACAAGAACCAAATCTACAGCTGCAGCGGTGAAAAGAGCTACTATAAGCGCTGGACTGCTGATCTGGATTTTGACAGCTCCTGTTTTTGCCACAGCTGGCCTTAAAGCTCAAGTTATAGATTGACAGGTTAACTGTTTTACATTTGTTCTTAGTTCTCACAGGTTAACTTCTGTGAGTACAAAGTTCTAAATTCCACATGTTGGATGGTTGTTAAACAACGTAAAACCCGAGGCTTTTGTCTAGTTTATGTTGAAAACAAAACAAATAGAAGAAATTTGAATTGTTGAAGGTGTGTTGTCTGTATCTACATTTCTTTCTTTGCTCTACATTATAAAATTCAGAATTGCCTGAAATTCCTCTACACTGTGTCCTCCTGTCTTACACGTGTTAAACATACAAATGCCACAAGAAGAGAAAAAAACAAAAAACAAATGATAATAATTAAAACAGAAAAAAAGTGTCAGTATTCTACAGGTGTAATCATAATTCTTGTATATTAAATATCAAACCCTGATATAAAACAGAACATTAATGCACCATTTGATAAATACTGCCCGTGATTTACAGAAAAACAATCTTAGAGGCTGAACTATCATCTCAAACATTAGCGCGCTATCTGCCTCACAAATACCACAACAATAAAATCACAGTGGCACAATGCTCATTCGTGAGGTTTTGGTAGTCTTTGATAACTGTCTTAATACTTCATCTCCTGGAGAATTTGGTAAAGAACACAACATCGCTGCTGCTCCCCCCCTCAGCTGATCTCTTTGTCCTCTTTCTGTTCTGGCACGGCCGACCCATTCTGCTCCGCCGCCGGTTCTTCCACCATGGCTGACTTTTTCGATGTCCCTGTTTGGATGCAGGGGGGGAATTGGAGAGGGGGTTAGTGAGAGATTAAAACCTTCAGCACACCTACAGTGACTGATGCCTCAGCAGTGTATGAGGATCCTGGCTGCTGCTGTACCTGTGAGGTAATTTCTGTGCATTCGATGGAACAGCAGGAGGCCAATGAAGAGGATAAAGCCGAGGCAGCCGACTATCATTCCGCACAGCAGGAAGCTGTAGCTGCCTTTAGACTGAATAATCTGTGGAGGAGACACACACATTAAAGCACTAAACATGAACCTAAACGTCCATCGGGCTTGTTTTTTGCTATTATAAGCCTATTGCTCCACTTCTGCACACTCTCTGCTTGTGTAATAATGAAGATACTCATCAGACTTACTGAGCCAACCAGAACCTGCATTACCATCTCTCCCATCCCTGCACTAGTCACCAGGACTGAGGTTGCGCATCCTGCGACAAAAAAAAAAGCCATGTATGCTTTATTTCCTCTGCTCTCACATTTATTCCGCTACTGTGTCATTATAATTGTGCAATAAACCCTTCATCATACCCTGGTAATCAAGAATGTCTTCAGTATAGGCAAGCATGCAGGGGAATATGCTGCTGAGGAACAGCCCACATAAACAGGTCCCGACAAACAGAAAGACGCTGCTGGTGTAGAAAATAAGCAGCATCAGCACTGTGACAATAGCTCCTGCCTGTAAAAACAAAGAAAAGAGAGTATGCTCAGTTGTACAGTTCATATCACCAACTGCTCATTGTGTGTCTTTAGTGTAATGGTGGCCCTCTAAATGTTTTGCAGGCCTCACCAGGTTGACCATGAGCAGCCTCACAGGCTGGAAACGATATGAAAGAGGTATGGATAAGAGACGTCCAGCAGTGATTGCCGCCCAAAAGATACTGGCCAGGTAACCTGCTGTCTTATGAGGCAACGAGATGGGCGACGCCACAGCGTAGGTGTACACAAAGCCGGCATAGGCCCCCTGAGAAGACAAAAGCCAGGTATCTTTCACAGGTGCAGCTCTCTGTGCTTATTATAAAGCATATTTTGCATGCACTAATAAAATTTGATGTTGAAAATAGTAAGTGAAACGAGCGTCATGTGTTTTATCTGCGCCCCTCACTCACCACAATACCATCGGTCATAAAGAGCACCAGGCCACCGAGGATATGAATCATAAAGAAGGATACCGGCAGCCCGCGCAGGTTATCATTCTGACAGCAGCTAAAGATACTCCCATGACCTGCAACAGAGCGAAAAGTCACCAGTGACAGATTGGATTGTTGTTTTGTTTTTCATCCAATCTCCCTGAAAATGTGTTTATGCATTATTCATTTTAAAATATAAGTCTCTCATATCTTTACCTCCTGCTTCATGTTCCCTCTGCTCCACGTCTGGACCCTCAGCCCCCTGCTGGTTCTCCATCGCCAGCTCATCCTTGTCCAAAAGACGTGGCGTACCACTGGGGCAGCATGGGATCAGCTGCTCCCGATACATTAGAAATAGGACTGCAATGGGCACAGGCAGCTGAAAGAGCACACATATTCAGCTTTTTTTTGAAAAAGCAAAACTTTCATCATGTTAACTGAAAAAAAAAAGACTATAAGAAGAAATAACTTTTGTCCTCGTCCTAACGTTCAGTGTCTCACATTAATAAGTGCCATGATCCAGAAGGCGTAGTGCACACTGGACTCCTCTTCCCCTCCCTCATGGGACAGGTGGCTGTGAGTTATATTGTGCTCTGCAATCGGACTGTTTCTCAGCATGTTCCTGAAATGATGTATGATCTCAGTCCCGTTCCCTGTGTGATTCCCACAGCCTGTCTCTGAGAGGAAAGGATCTGCAATCAGTGGGCTCACCAGGGCACCAAACCCAATGAAGAAGTGAAGAGCCTGCAGAAATGTAAAAAGGTCAGGGACATAACTTACTGCAGCGTTTCAAGAACTACAGTATATTATTACCCCTTAACTTGACAATGTACTCCTACTGATCTACAGCTTTTGTAAAGAAAAATACTGGTCAATTTGTCTTTCTATATTTGTGGAAATACAAAACTTATATATGTGAATGTGTATCATGCCAGTATGATTTTTACAGATAAGATAAAGGTACTGTTGGGATTTATTTACCTGTAAGAAAACAGCAGAGTCCTTCTGATAGATGGTCACCAGTTGGATGTTGGCGATGGTGTCAATGATGCCCATTGCGAAACCAGACACAGCCATAGCAATGGCCAGCACGAGAACATTGTTGCACGCAGGGATGATGGCAAATATCACAGAGATGATAAGAGCAGAAACAAACAAGGCAGCTAAAGCGCTGAACAACCTTCAAGAAAGTAAAGAGATAAACACTGTCATAATGAAGGACAAACATTTCCACATTATTTATGCACCTCAAACAACCGCGCAGCAGGGAGTGTTGTGATACTTACGTCCTCTTGAAAATGCCACCAATGGAGCTGCCAATCAACAAGCAGAACTGCTGGGCGAAGAACACCCAGGTGATCTGACTAAGTGTCGAGTTTGTTTGACACTGCAAGTCCAAAATTGTGGGTCCAAGAAAAGCAATGCAGAGTCCAAAGCTGAAGAAAACGCTCCAGTAGGTCAGCGTATGATGGGCATTCCTTTTGAACAGGGTCACAATCCGCTCATCCACAAACATCTTGGCCACAATGAAAATAGATGCACCTCAGTGAAACAGACTGCCAAGTGTTTTTTCTCCACTACTAAGTATTATGATCCCACCAACGTGAAAGCAGCTCAGAGAGGTTCTGTGGATGCTTGTTGGAGCTTAATGAGTTTCTTGATCTCTTTTAAAGCTTTTTTAGCTCTCTCCTCTTTGTATTGCTTAACTGAAAAGGATGTCCTTTTTAGTTAATGGGTGAAGCGAAGATTCTTCCAACAATAATATCCCCATTTGAATTGTGTCAATGATTAGCAATGAGAAAGACCCTGTGTGTTGAAATGCTACAAGCCAGCGAGGCGCATTTGTATGACATGACACACTGAGCCATTTCAGTGGAAAATGTATCTGTCGGGAAGCAGTGACGCACAAGTGTCTCATGGACAGGTTGTCTAATCTTTCATACCTATCAAGCACTCATTGTGAAAGGAGCTTGAATGCTAAAAATAGCATAAGTGACATAAAATGTTAAGAAATGATGTGCAAAAACAGATTTATTGTCTATGTACTATGTGGGAATGACAGTGTTTTCAGCTGTGACTGCAACCGTAGAATCATGATTTAGTACTTTACATAGAAGTACTTTTTTTTATTGTTATGAAGTTCATGGTTGTATAATTTGTAACCTATTGTCACTTCATATTTCTTCTTGTTCAGTCATATACAATTCTGTGTGCATTAATTTAAATCTCGAACAAATGAGCTTGGTTTTTTGTCTGCAAAAAAAATTTCTTGTCATTCTTTGAATAGGGAGTAGGCAGTATGTGCAGTATTTTCACACGTGTGTACTTCTTTTTTTTCATCAAACACCATCAGTTTTCACTTATCCTGGAAAATATCTCAACATTTACCACAGGTTTGGAAAGAATATAGATGTTCATGGTTCCCAGAGGATGAATTGCAATACAGTTTGTGATGCCTGACATCTACACAGAGGTAAAATGTAAATTTATCTTTTCCTTTAAATTAAAATATTAGCAGTTAATTATCAAATTTATGATGCTGACACTCTAGGATGAATATGGTAATCATATTGTACCTGCTATATATTAGCATGTTAGCATGTGTATGCTAGCATCTAGCTTAATGCACCACTGTGTCTAAAGCCCTGCAGAGCTGGTTGTTTGTTTAATTTGTCTTATTCAGGAGTTTTTATTCATGAGATTTAGTGATCTATGGTGATGATGCAATTTCTGTATGGGCACAATAAAGCTTTTTATTTATTCATTTATTTTTACAGTATTTGTCACTGTTATCAAATATACATTATTTTTTCAGAATTTCTCAGAATTTCCTGGATTTTTTCCTCATTGACAGTATGAGTGGGCGTACCAGCCTGAAGTTCAGGTTGGCCGCTGAGGATGGGGAGTACGTGTGATTTAACAATGCAATCTTTAACTTGACCCCATTTCAGAATGAACATCAACCTGCCAAGAACTGAACAGATGCTGCACATTTCAAGGCCGCTGCATGATTTAGATATTTATGACACTTAACAATTCTGTGGATTTAAAAATGTGAGTTCTACAACGAACAGTGATGAGTAATAGGTTGAATTGCTTGACCCTCAGTGGTAAGAATAAAAGAAAGGACTTAATGCCTAATCCCTTTAATGATTGCATAAAAGCAGCAAAGCTCTACTGGTTGTGGTTAAATATGGGCTTCCGGCAAGGTTGTAACGGATGGGACTGAATAAAAAAAAAAAAAAATCACAAGACGTTAAGAATTTAGTCCTTTTAAAACTTTTTATTATCGACACAGGCACAGTAAAAGCCACCAGGAGTTATTTTTCTGCATGTGATTTTATGCTGTTTGTAATCAGTAAATCTACTTGCATGTTACTTGCTCGGTTCTTATCTCGCTTCTGCAGTGAATTCATTTGCCCCCAGTTCAAAAATATGATGCCTATCTACATATGTCAGATGTGTCTTTCCCATGCTTCTCTGTCCGCTCTGATTCCCACATGCATTGTATTTGCAACTGTTACAAAACACGTCACATTTTCCCGTATCCGTCTACACAGTTGCCATATTTCCGACAGCCAAAAGCCTTAAGCTGCGTAACTGATTTGCCAACATCTCCTGCTAGGTGGAGATGCTGGTCAGGTACTGAACCCTGAGAAATATCCGTGTTTGTACAGCAAGGCATTCATTAACATCAACTTCCTGTTCTGGAGATATGGCAACACGAGAGGAACGCTTCAGGTAATTGTCAACCAACATAAGCCTAGAGGTGTGCAAGAAGTTGTTAAAAATAAACAGCAAGTTCTAGTTATGGAAGTAGGACATGTGTTTGGTAATAATCTTACTTACAAAAGTTCAATTAGGAAGAGCTCCAGTACGTGTACGGAACAAACTAGTGACTTAGAAATCCATACTTTAAAATTGCTTTTTGCTTTGTAAAAGCCAGATTAACTTGTTAACAGTTCCTAGCATGACTTTCTGCTCACTGACAATCAGTTGTTATCAGTAGCTGCTTATCCAGCTACACAGAAAGGTCCATTGTCACTGTCTTTTGTGTGTTTTCTTTTGCGCGTCGAAAAAGAAGCAGAGCTTTTGCTTAAGTGAAAGTAGCAATACCAGAATGTCACAACAACAAAAATACTGATCCTGCATTCAAAACATTGGCTACATTAAAGTTCAGAATTATGAGCAGTGAAATACATTTATCCCTTGGTACGAGCACCAAAAGTAAAAGTGCAGAATAGCCTGTGTCAGAATAATATGATTGTAATTATTGATGCAAGATAATAATACAACTTACACTTTTCTTTACAAAAAGGTAAACAATGAAAAGTACTACATAATTATATTATTAACTTAAATAACCATCCAGAGACGGTCTGGACTCAGGAGGTCCAGCCTACTCTGGTTTTTAGCCTTGACAGAGGAATTACTAACGGACCTCAGATTGATACAGGGTGAGCATGTTGGTGATGTTTCAAACTGATTGTTGTTCTTTTTGGTAGGCTGTGTTGCTACAGCATTCTGGATGAGTTTAGAAATGTTCTCTTGATTAGGACAAAAGAAAAAAGATCCAAGCTTTGGAACATGCAAAGGAGTAGGAAGCAAATTTAAGTGTAAGCTGCGAAAAGTGGTGCTACTTGGAACTACTTTACATAGTTTTTGTTAGCTTAATCAGTGATAATACATTAAATTTCAATTTATTTTTTAACTGTAATGGAGTAAAAAAGGTAATATTGTCCTAAATGTTGTGACGTAGAAGACAAAAGTTAAAAACGAACTTTAATTGTACATAAATGCAGATTTGTAGTACTTTTGTTACACCACCACTGATGCACATAAGGTACATCTTGAACCATGACTGGCTTCCAGGCTAGTTTGTAGGTTTAAACAGTGATTGGAGTTGAGCACAAAGAAATGTTATTATTTCAATGAATGAATATGATAAACTCTGCATTATCCTGCTTGGAAGAGGTGATACAGCCGAGTGGACAAAAAACCAAACAAAACAACAAATAACACAACAACACACTTTTGTACAGCGAGGGACTAATTGAGATAATTCTGGGGTTTTTTTCCTTCTACGTTTCAACACTAGATGGTGTAACAGCATTGCCTTTATCCACATTCAACCCAGTTGGGGCTGCCTCTTTTGGAAATAAGAACACGTAGCGACTCAGCAGGAGGAAATATATCAGTGAAGGAAACAGTAAATTTACAGACTATTAATTATAATGCAAAATCATCACTGCTGTTGAATATTTCACAAGCAAACACACTCGGAGCATCTCTTTTTTCAGTCTGACATGTGGTTGTGCTGATGGCAGTCGCGTGAAGGTGCAGAACAGTGTTGCTTCGCCCCTCTCTGTCTCATCTCCATAGGCTGACATTTATCCAACCCTCAATCAGAGAGGCCTGAGACAGTGCCAGGACAATGTGACAGGAATCCTAAGATGATTGCTCTATTTTTTTTTTCTCCCTGCTCTCGTCCCCCCCACCACCTCTAGCATTTGCCTTTCTATATTATATACTGTTTCTTTATGGATCAGTGAGCAAGCAAAGCAAAGCACATGATGACACGTATAATAAAAGAAAATGCCTTGAATTATACGCCGCTACCTCCAAATATATCTCCATACGTCTCTGTGTATATTTCATAATATGTGAGTGAGCAAGATAAACACGTGAATGTCCACGAGGAAGAGGAAGTCACAATAAGTTTATGTATCATTACTGTCAACTCAGGCAGGGGTACACGATTCAGTGCATGCGTTAACACGAGCGAAGCGATTAGCTGAAGCAGACATGACACAGGCTCCTTGTGGAGTAATAAGAAATGTATCAGTCACCTATCTGCATTTCTTCAGTCAGTCCCTGTAGCCGGGGATGGAAAAGCCCTGCAGTGCACCCCCTTCACATCTCCTCAGGCCCAAAATAGAGCCGGGAATATGTGGTATGCAAACAGACATGTCTGCAGGGCAAAACAGTACAATTCTACGAGGCTCTGTGCTTTCAAACTAGCTGCTGGTGAAGCAGTTAAGATGTGAGGCACCTGTGGAAGTTAGTGCATGAATATATCAAAAAATCATGTATAAATGTTATATATAGAATTATTTAGATGATATGTCACGTTCATGACAAATCCTTTCTATAGAACTGATTACAGGCAGCTTTCTTTGGACCAATTTTAGAAGTAAACCAGTGCAGATGCTACAAACAAGAGTGGAAGTAACCTAAAATATAGCACTGACAACCTAACCAGTGTTGCCAGACTAAAACTAAATTGTTCCATAGGATAGGAGGACCACGTCTCCTAAAATTTCTGTTTATGCTTCTGTTAATCTGGTTTGCATGTTACATTTTAGTGGGAGCGCAATTCCTGCTTTGATGCTGTTCACTGGGAACATTTCTTCCAGAGCAGAAGTCCCTGAGCACTGTGGCCACTTACTGGATTCACGTCCTGAGTCTCACTTGGGGTTTGAGTACCATTCAGGTTAGGAGAAAAGTATATTTGTT